TACAGAGACAGAGATACGCACTTCCTTTGCCTTTGTCCCCCTCCCCTTCTTTTTCAGCCCTATATATATATATATATATATATATTAATTCCCCATTTTCTTCAGCAGCAGCCAGTAGTAAGAGCTCACACTCCACCGGAAAAACCCCAGAGACTGGGGAAAATATAAAAACAAATGGTTGGAAGAAGTCATTTCTTACGCTGAGAGGGCGGGGCGAGGTAGGGATGGAGGAAGAGGAGGCAAAGGGAGAGAGAGTGAAGGAGGAAAGGGGGGAGGGAGGGTGGGAGGGAAGCTGTGCCTGTGTACCTGCGACGTAGTAAGCACTCACGACAACACAGCTGCAGAAATAACGACCAATCCGAAGGGAGGAAATCTGCAACTGCCGCTACGTCATTGGCGAACCGCAAAGGTTGCTGACGACACCGCGCAGACTCGAGGATTCCACCCATTTAGTGACGTCAGGCATTAATGAGTGAAAAACAAAAGAAGTGTAGCAGCAGGTGTGAACAGGTGAATGGAGTCCAGGCTGTTTTCTGCGAGGTTCGTGAGTTCTCTCGTTTCATTTTATATTTTACACTGGGAAATATTTGAAGTGCATCAGGAATAAACTCAAATAAATGAGAACGTGTCAGGATGGCATGAAATTTTCGATGAATTTGTGTTTTATCTTTGAATTTTTTTTTATTTGTATGTCGATGCTCAGGTGACATGAATTCACACTCACTTCGCTGACGAAAATATAAATTCAACAACATTCAAAGAGAGCTCTAACATACAGGAAACACAACTAAGTCGGTTGACTTGGTCGGTGGTTTTTAATGTGTTGCTCAGCACAAGGCAGTGAGTGCTAGGTAAAATCTGAGTAAAGTTTAATGATTTAAAATATAACCATTTTGACTTAATTGCTTATTATGAGGGAATAGTTTGAATACTTTTCTTTATAGCCAGACACTCAATACGTCAAACTCTGTCTTTTTTGTATTTTTTATTTTATTCCAGTAAAGTTTAAAGATCACTATCAACCATATGATGTGTACATTTTTTAAAAAATATTTTCCTTTCTTTAAATATCATTAAATGTCAAAAAGTACATATTTTTTACCCTGAAATAACACATTGAATTATCTTCTTCTTCTTTTTTTTTTTTTTAAAAAAAAAAGGATTGGAAGCAAATTTGAAATTCTGATTTCTACTCACGGGAATGTGGAACTCCTGCAGATCTGTGATGGCCTCTCATTCTCCGACTGTAAGTAACAGCTGTCTCAATTTCGCTTTTGGACTTGAGTTCAATGTCTATGCCTAAAATTTTCCAAAATAATAAATAAGATAAAATGTGTTATGAAAAGAAAGAAAACAAAATAATAAAAAAAAATTAGAAATCACCCAGTATATATAATAAGTTATTAATGTTAGCTCAAAAAGTTTCACTATAATATAATATAATATATAGGTAAAACTATGTATGCACATGATAATTGATAAACACCTTTAAAAGCATCAACATCGGTTAAGTTGTATTCTTGCGCCCTCTTGTGTTTATAATGCTCCATGTCACAGAGGTAACTAAATTATTGAAACCGTTTCCGACACAATTATCAGTGTTACTGTTTATTTTTTTTAATTTGTCGGTCAATTGTAGAAAAGAATAAGTAGTAATAATAATAATAATTATTATTATTATTGTGATTATAATTATTATTATTAGTATATATTGTGTTTGGCTTTTTTTTTGTTTGTTTAAAAAAAAAATACAGATTTTGAATGCTGGAAAATACTCAGCTTCAGCTTTGATAGTGGTGTCCCAGTTCAGTCTCACAAAGCTGTGGGATTACCTTTGTGCACACACGCGGTCTCCTGGAGACTATTTTAAAACGGACAATTAAATGTGTGCAGTTCTGTCATGAAGCTGTTATTATTGTAGTGACAGAAGTCTGAGGCAACTGGACTGTAATGAAACAGGAAGTGACCTTTTATCTGAACTGACTCACATGGTTTGATATGGTGTCTTCACTGCACTCTCTTTTATTTTAGGCAGCGTGTGCTGCTGTTAGTTTTTGATATTGTATGGCTGCTATAATGTTGCATGGTTCCGTGTAACACACTCAATGTCTGTGTATATATAGTTGCGATGTTTTAATTTAAACCTGTCATCCATGAGCAGCAGCTAAACTCATTGGCATGTGTGTGTGAATGTTTGGTCTGTTGCCCAGTTACATCAAGTCTTTGTGAAGGATGAAGCCAGGTGGACATGCTAGGAAAATGTCTTCGTCCTCCCGAGAAGTATTCAAGTGTACCTCAGTGATGAGTGTACAACCAATGATGAGTGGTTCTCATCATTTTGTAATGATGTGTTTTGTCAGGGAGTTTCCATCTAAGCAGCATGAAGCATTTCTGGTTGAAAAACGATTGCAGTACTGTGATGTCATAGTCATGTATTGTTAGATTTAAGTTCAAGTTAATAATAATAAACATGCTTATTAACACCTGTAAGGTGAAAGGGACTAGTATTAAATGAAACATTAATGTCAGCCCTAATGTTGAAATCTGATGAAAGCTATTGTTGCAAATGTTTAATAATTAAAATAAAATAAAATAAACACACCCCCTCCAGGCAGAAGTAAAGGATTCAATTTTTAGTCTTTCTTTTTAGTTGTTAAAAATGGGTTAATGTTTAAGTTTATATTTGTAATCGTATCACCAAGCCCATTCAGAAGTAGAGTGGCCCGGCATTCCACTGACGCGGGGCTACGACCACACCTTAAATATCACACATTTTAAGTGATCATATAGAAGGACTGTAGAAGATCGTGTGTCAGATTTGATATTTTTATAAATATAACTCTGTAAAGGTATTCTATAAAAATGTACATTAATAAACATAAAATCTTTATTTTAAATAAATAGTACGCTAACAATACTCTCAATTAATGACATGTATTTTGAACAAAAATGTATAAAGTCTTAGATATTAACAGCCGGACTTGTATAATAATGTTCTGAATATCATACCAAAATACAACCATGAGTGATTGCTGTGCAGGATCAAGCCACTATAAACTGTTCATATTCTCAGACCTGCTCTGTGCATGTCTGCGTATCTGATAACTGTTTTGTCAGCCGTGCTGGGATCTGGAGGCTAATTTGGGAATCTTTTTTTTTTTTTTTTTAGGCCATGGGTCATGTATTGTTTATGTTTCCTGGTTGTTAGGGCAACTGGTGCCCATGGTGATTCGCTCTTAAAGTGGGAAACACCTACATGACTGCACCGGACAGCAGATACCTCCGTCAAGTCACACCATGGTTGTGTCATGTAGTCAGATAGAGAAAATCTTCATCATCCTCGGTGCAACATGAGGGAACAGAGATGGGAAGTCATGGGGGGCGAGGGGGAGGAGGAGGAGGAGGAGGGGGGGCTTTTACTTAGTCATCGGTGGAGTGGAAGCTTCTGGTGTTCAAATATGAGCGATGTGACGAGGACAAACTCAGAGCTCATGTCAACATTAGAAGATGATTGGACACTATTTTATAGAAACGGGCAGTGTCTCTGTGTCGAGTCACTAAATGTCTAAAGTCTATAAAGTTAGTTTCTTTTTTCCAAATAAATGATTACTTCGACAGGTTTTGAAAATTAAAATAACATCCGGTACCAACAATTATATTGTAGCATGCCAGTATTGGGGGGTGTCAGGGTCTTCAGTCCCATGATCCTTTGGGAAAGTGATAGGAGTTCAAACAGGAAGGTTATAAATAGAGTTGACTCCAGAAGCAGCTGACCGACACACACATACACCCACACACACACACACACACACACACACCGTTAAGTCACAAATTCAGACATGACATTACACGGTGATCCCCCTCAGACTCCGACCTCCCACGTACACCTTTACTTAAAGCATCTGTGATGATTTGCCTCTCATGACCTTACCACTAGGGGTGATGTTGACCTGGATCACACAAAGTGTAGGTTTGTGTGTGTGTGTGTGTTAGTTGTCAGGCACACGTTAGAGCTGCGGTTAGCATTTAGCACAGTATTTATCACCTTACAAAACTGGAGGTATAACCTGTGACACAGAGTAGAGACGCCTCACACTCACACCGTGTGCTCGATTCAGCTGAAGGTCACGGCTCCTGTCGGACACGTCAGGGTCACTGACTGAACATAAGGCACCGACGTTTAGTATTAAACTGGAATAGAATGTGTTAAAAGTAGTGTGTTGTTAGTCTTTAGTTCCACTTCCAACGATGTGCAACCACTTTGAGAGATAGAATTCAGAGGTCAAAGAAAACGATAAAAAGAAATATTCACCTCACAATCCTGTGGCTACAAGACACCAGTAAATACATGAAGGTCATTTTAATAGACTTGGCTCACAGCCTGGACTGCTGGGCCTTGTTTCCAGTATGTAGTGGGCAGATGACATTGGAGCCAAGTCTAACATTTAACACAGCAAGAAAGTTTAATAAGAAACAAAAAAATACTACAAAATAATACTACCAAAGTACAAGGTATAGTTCACAAAAATGCTGTAACATAAATTTTAACCTGATTATTTTAAGAATTGATAATTGAACAAAATGTATGTGTAATAATGTAATTAAATTAGGTTTAAAAGGAGCATCCGCCAAAGTCAGTGGTTCAAGAAACTTTTTGTGTAATGTTTTTTAAATGTATTTGTAACTTATTTAAATTGGTAAAAGGGAGGCTGTTTACGTTGCTATTTTACACAAAACTTGTATTTTATGTATTTTGAATATCATTCTCATTCAACATGTCAGTATTATAATTTTATTGGGTGGCCCCTCTCAAGTTTGGGTCTCTAGAATCATTTTCCTTGTTCCATCCTTTTTGTCACTCCAGCCAGGCAAATATTACAGTTCAGGTTTAAACAGGTGTCACTCAAGGAGAATATGATCCTTCAAGGATTTCCTGGGAATCTCCTGCAGGACAACTCCAGGCTGGCCAGTGCATTCTGAGCCAACTGTAAATGTGTATCTTATACACAGTAAACCTACAGCGGTGTGTGTGTGTGTGTGTGTGTGTGTGTGTGTGTGTGGCCTGTCTCCAGTCCACACATCATAAAGATGCTCAGATCATGTTTATAACAGTGATATATAAATTCAACCTGCAATCAAAACGACTACTAAATAGAAAATAAACAAGTAATAATTTACTAAAAAAAAATCCTTTGTCTTTTTGCCTTGTTTGAGGTCTTTCTTATTAAATTAACAGCTGCACACATTTTTATTTGCTCTATGTGCTGGATATGCACTTAAGCAACAGCAGCTGTACCTGTAAGTCACACATGTACACATTATATAGTGTTAGAGGTGTGCACAGTCTATATGCTGTATATACTATAGTACTACACTCCCCCTGCAGAGCCTTGATAACAGACTGAATTGCACGACCTTCTTGGCAGCGGCTCTATCAGACGAACCGAATCCTGCTGCTTATGTAACCGAGGGTGAATACATAACCACTGGTAACTCTATAGCTACTAGCGGAGCTTAAAATCAGATTAAAGCTAATAAAATATAATGAGCAGCAAAGACGTGGCTAAATATCAATTTGCGTCTACTGGGTACTGGGTAGTTCTTATTAAGTTGGTATGATTTAAAATGTGCTGCCGGAACATTCTGGAACATGTCTGAAGTTGAGCTAATTTGGAGGAATGATCTTCGTATAATGTGACTGTATATTCAGTCTTTCACCCACTGGTGGAATGGTTAAGTACAAAAGCTTTTCCGCATTAGGATTCCTACGTAGAAATGCAGAAACTGAGTTTTATCCAGGAAGAGTCAGACACAGACACTTGGCTACATATCCTTCCCAGCAGTTGAAACCAAACCCTTTGGACAGCTGGCAACAGGAGGTTCTGGCAACTGGAGTGACAAACGGGGGAGAGAAATGAGGGGATAAGTGAGGGGGGAGATAAAGTGAGTGCCTGAAAAGGGAGGGTGGGGGCATGGAGTAATGTAGTAGAGAATAATAGATGACATATCAAAGGAGACTGCAATGAACTGATTACAAAAATGAGTCATTGTTAAGTGGAAGTCAAAGTTAATTTATACTAGGCGATGGGTTAAAACTGGTAAAAAAAATTGAGCCTTGAGCGCCTCTACTGTATGTTTTAAAAATTGTCATCATAGTCCCTACATTGTCAATAACTAAAATCTAACAATCAAAATAGGACGGAATTGTGAATTTCCCCACTGTTACAGTTAAAGGACTTAAAAACATCATGACATCATCGGCAAACAGAATCATATCATAGTCTTTCCACTGATAAGATTATTATGGTTTGGCTTGAATAGAGACAAAAGTGTTGAAGAGAGAAGGTGGCTGAAGTGGCGTGTCATAATACCAACTTAGCTGAAGGGTGGAGGATTGGTGAGGGACGGGGGGCGTGAGTGGGTGTGGTGTTGCATCTATAAATAGCTCCACTCTGAGCCCTGGAATTCTTCACTTAAGTCTCTCCCAGTTGCCCAGTGGGACAGTTGGGTCCTAGCACATCCAGCAGCTCCATCACCACCACAAGCCGACCAAACAGTCAACCAGCCATGAGCAGGTCCTACTCCTCCTCCTCCGCTCAGACGGCCTCCTCGTACCGTCGCACCTTTGGCACCGGAGTTGGTTCCACTCCGATGTCTTCCCTCTTCTCCAATGTTGGAGGAGGCCGCAGCTCAGCATCAAGCCACAAGTCCGGCAGAGTCTATGAGGTCAGGAGCACTGCCCTTCCTTCTTTCTCCAGCTACAGGGTCTCCTCCGGTGGTGGGGGAGCTGGATACGGCTCCTCCACAGCCATGCGCACCTACTCCGGCGAGAAGCTCGACTTCAACCTGGCGGACGCCATGAACCAGGACTTCCTCAACACAAGGACCAACGAGAAGGCCGAGCTTCAGCACCTCAACGACCGTTTTGCCAGCTACATTGAGAAAGTTCGTTTCCTGGAGCAGCAGAATGCAGCGCTGACGGCAGAGATCGAGAGCCTGAGGGGTCGCGAGGGACCCGGGCGTGTGGGTGAGATATACGAGGAGGAGATGAGGGAACTGAGGAGGCAGATAGAAGCACTGTCCAACCAACGTGCCCGGGTGGAGGTGGAGAGGGACAACATGGCTGATGACCTACAGAAACTCAAACTGAGGTAAGACAATTTTGAATCTTTCTGAATTTTATTTCGTTGGGTGGGTCACATAAGGCCATCTTTCCCTCGTCACATTGGTTTGAAACTCCCCCAAATCCAAGTGTTTTTCACTACTAAAACCCTTTGTACTCCTTTGTACTAGGTTCTTAGCTTCCATTTCCAAAGTTGGGGGCGGGGCTCTTCAAATTGCAACTGTTGCCCAGGCTTGAAATCAATTTTAATTCCAATACAGTTTTAATCTTTGCTACAATAAGACAAAATAATTTAGTTTTTATGTGGGGTGCTCAAGAAAAAATCCCAAATGAAAAGGGAGTTGCTGCAGAAAAAAGTGCTGCTGCTTTAATGAATGTTACACTTCACCAACTTAAGTGTTTATATAATGTGTTCACAAGAGACACACTGAGCCTGAAACACTCACTAAAAAAAGATTAAAACAGACGGATAATCATCATTTCACTCTCATGGAAAGAGGCTGCAAAAACAATTCTATTCAAGTATGTTAAATCCCAAAACAGATGGGGAAAAAAGTTCAAAAGTCAAAGAGTAAATTTACATACTTGGCGTTGGTGCTCCACTGTTTATCTAAGCATGTATAAAAGAGAGACAGACGGAGAGAGAGCTGTGATGTGGGTGTATCTGCCTATTTGTAGCTACTAGGTCAGCTCCATGAATTTAGAATTTGTCACAGCGACAGAGACCAACATCAGTCAAATTTAAGTGTATCTGACAGGCGCGCACACACAGCACATGCTCAAACACCCACTTTTCTTTATCGGAACCCTTTTTATAAACCTCTGCCTGCAGCTCCGAGAGATAACTGGCAACACACCTGCTGCTTTGAGCGAGATGAAAATACTCCTGACTGCCCACAGTTTCAGTGAATGCAGACGATCACACGCACACACACACACACACACACAGAAGGACACACATGTCCTAGAGGATGACCTGCGAAAATATCAAATCTCCGTAGCGGCAATAAGTGAAATAGAGAGGCAAAATGTTGATGTAATAATAAAATACAAATATGATTACATAACTAAATACACATAGAACTGACAGATTAAAAATAATATAATTAAATCTGCATGTCATTTGAGACTCACCGTTTTAAAAGTGAGCATCTTGTTCCAGTCCACATTTACGACACCCTTTACAATGAGTACGCAGTTTTCCTGCAGGGTTGTTTGTGCTGATCCTGAAAAGGTTAAATGTAGCTGCGCTGTTGTCACCGTCCAATATTGTAAAACAGCTGCACCTCAGCATTATTAGGAGGTGTGAAAAGAAGGTGAGAGGTGGGGAGGTGGGGAGGGGGAGAGGGGGAGAGAGCGCAGGAGGATGGAAAACGAGTATTCCCAACCTGCATCAATCTAATAATTGGACCCCGGGGAAGGAACGTTATCAAATCTTTGTGTTCCTTCAGTCTAAACCTTGACTTTTTTTATATCCATTTTCAACAGACTGCAGGAGGAGATTCATCAGAAGGAGGAGGCTGAGAACAACCTGTCTGCTTTCAGAGGCGTAGGTTTCTAAAACAAAGTCATTTTTGTCTCAAGGCCTGAATTGTATTTTTCTTTTTTTGGCCCATTCATCTTTATTTGCTACCTTTTGATGTGACTTTGAATTTAGCCTTGTTTTCACACGCCCACTTCCCTTTTTCAGTTGTTTCTCACTATAATCATGTGTCAATTTGAGGTTTGTTTTTTTCCATCTTATATCTAGGATGTTGACAGTGCAACTCTGGCCAGGCTGGACCTGGAGAGACGCATCGAGAGCCTACAAGAGGAGATTGGCTTCCTGAAGAAGATCCATGAAGAGGTTTGTTTATCTGGATCTAAACTCTGTCTGTGGCTGGACCACGAAGAGCAGTATGTGTAAATACTTCTGTATATGTAGGATGGGGGGGGGGGGGGTTGGGGTGTGTGTCCTGTATCATGTGACAGATATCTGGTAAGATGACTCTAGTGTTTCTGAAGCCAAGCAGCTCAATCGGTGGATAGAATATTTCACACTTTAACACGCCCATTCATGTTAAGACAAAGTTATTGTCGACTCTCTCTCTCACAATTTCACGTTTTCAATTAATTTGATTTCATTAACTCTCATTTACACACACACACACCAACCAGCACATTTCAGTATTATTCAGAGCAAAAGCAACAGCAGACGTAGGCGGGTGAACCCAGACACATGTTGACGTAGTTGACATGTTTTTATGTCATTCTGTCATTCCCCGTTTCAGCTTTGACCTCTCAGATATGCCGAACTACCGATATGTTGAATAAGCATGTCAGCTGTTGGTCGTGTGTGCATGTGTGTGAGTGTGTGTGAACAGATGCCGGGCTTATTTATATCTTTTGGACAGGCCAGGAGACAGCTGGGGCTAAAGTCTGAAACTTGAGGTTTTACAGGGCCCGAATAAGCTCTATGGTGTTCTAGATGGCTCAGAGTATTCGGCTCATATTGTATGAGCCACTAATGCTAAGGTTCATGTAATTCATATGTTTTAATGTTGATTTTATAAAAAGATATTCAAATGACATGACAGAATTAGAATGGTATCCCATTTAGACATGCAGGTCACTTGAAAAAGAAACAGTTTAAAGTCTTATGTTAAGTCTTCGCAAGGCCGTGGTCTGACCCAGAAATGTGGAATATGGCCCAGGTGTATTTAAACAAATGCCAAGCGCTCCCTGCCAATATGTTGCACTTTTGGGAATGTCGAATCTGGATGTGTCTTGTCTTCTGCCAATTGGCAGGTGATACTCATTCCTCCCCCTTAAGAGAGTCAAACAAAGGCGATTCATGTGCTGAATATAGACCAAAATATTTTACCGAAATAAGTCTTCAGTGTCAGAATTCAATTTCTGTATGTGGCCAGGTTTGATCATTATTTTTTTAATGTATTCCCATCTAGGAGATCCGTGAGCTGCAGAGCCAGATCAAGGACACTCAGATCCAGGTCCAGATGGACATGTCCAAGCCCGACCTGACTGCTGCTCTGAGGGACATCCGTATGCAGTACGAGGCCATTGCTGCCAATAACATCTCAGAGGCTGAAGAGTGGTACAAGTCCAAGGTATGGTGGAGGCATCGAGAGAAGAGAGAGAGACAAGCTGCCAACCCCTCCCTCCCTCACTCCCCCCTTTTTGTCTTCAGGTGACTGATCTGAGCCAGGCCGTGGATAAGAACAACGACGCCATGCGTCAGTCCAAGCAGGAGATCATGGAATACAGACACCAGATCCAGTCCTACACCTGCGAGATTGACTCACTGAAAGGATCTGTTAGTATAAGCTGGAACTTTTTACCTTTCACATCCTGTGTCTTTTTTTATTTACATTTTGGACATCCAGAACATCTAAACATGTCTGTGTCTCTTTCTCTCAGAATGAGTCTCTGATGCGCCAGATGAGGGAGATGGAGGAACGCATGGGCCACGAGGCCAATGGTTACCAGGATACTATTGCAAGACTGGAGGAGGAAATTGCTAAGATGAAGGTAATAATGTTTGACAAACCAACTTCTCAGATAATAAGGATCTTAAGTTTCATCAAAGAGACAGTTGGTGACCCGACACACTCTTATATCAAATATGAATTTAAATCTTTTATTTTTAAAACATTTTTCAGCAGGTACATCAGCGCAGAGCTTGCTTATTCTATGAAGCTGCACACCTATAGAAGTTACTTTCTACACTGTATCTTAAACAGCAGCTCTGCAGGCTTTAAATTGCAATACTGCCCCCTCCTGGCTTTATTTGACACCGATCATATAAATGAATAAAAATAACTTAATAACTGATTTCATAACTAACTAAATAAAAAAAGTACATATTTACATAATTACATATGATTATATGGTTTATTATATGAGGACAATGTATTAAAACCACTGCATCAATAAATTAAAAAACAAACAAACCTTGAAGTGATTTCAACGCTCTGGTCCACAGGATGACATGGCTCGTCACCTGAGAGAGTACCAGGACCTCCTCAACGTGAAGATGGCCCTTGATATTGAAATCGCCACCTACCGCAAGCTGCTGGAGGGAGAGGAGACCAGGTGGGTTCTAGAGCCGTCTCTCCTTTAAAACTGAACAAATTGCTGCACAACGATATAATTCTAGAATATTTTATTATATATGATTAGTTATTAAAATGAGATACTTGGAACTTTTTGTCTTTTCCTACTTGATGTGTGATGAGCTGACGTGTCTGTCCTCCCACAGAATCACTACCACCATGCCTATGCAGTCCTCATTTTCCTCCATTGGATTCAGAGGTGAGAAAGTCTCCACACGGTGATGCCTTTAAACATGAATGGCCGTGAAAACCCATTTTAAATTCCAGACGAGTCACAGGGAGAATAAAACACACCAACTATAGCCTTTGCCTGTACAAGGCTGGGGCTATTTTGAGGCCACTGCGTGTTGCACATGTGCAGCGCCACATTCTGTCCACTGTGTGGTGATATATGAACTCTGAAAAGCCTCACAGGCTCTTTGATTTACACAGGCAGTCGTGACAAAGCCGCACATCAATAATGCCCCAACTTAGCCTCGTCATTAAGTATATTTACAGTTGAGATGTGCAATTACTCTGAGCTGATGACTCTCCCTGCCACACGGCGCAGCTCAACAAGAGGCAGTGAGCGGTAATTGGAGATGACATATTAGGTCCGGCGATGATGTACGATCGCCACAGTTTGACTTTTTAAATGGCAGTTATTCACACTCCACAGACTGATGACTGTCATCCCAAAGTGCACAGCCTGTCATCAGGTTGTTAAGTCCTGATCTATGTCTTTAGTTTCTTGACTAAATGGGTTTTGGGTTGTTTGTTTTTGTTTTTTTTCCTTACAGAGACCAGCCCTGAGTCCCAGCATCAACGCTCACCAGAGGTTCACTCCAAGAAAACTGTCATCATTAAGACTGTGGAGACCCGCGATGGAGAGGTCAGTGCGCACACACACACACACACAGTAAACACATCAACACATGTTATTATATGTAGCATGTAAAAAAAAAAACATCTCCAGATATTGAGCACACCAGGGTCGCAGAAATCATTGGGGAGATTTTTTAATGTTTTGGTTGTTTTTTTTGACTCATTGTTGTACATATTCTCATCCAGATGCAGTTTTCTATGAGCCAAGGCTCTAGTGCCCAGTGTGTAAGTCTACTTCTGGTGTCTAACTCACCATCATGGCACCAGTTTACTAAAAACTTAAAACCAACTGATTTATTTTTCACCTCCACCTCTGTCTTCTATGGCAGGCTAACGTTCACAAGTCGAGCAATGATACAGCAAAGGTTCTCCTCTCTAAACGCAGTCTCAAAATCTGGTTTGCATTGACCCTTAAGAGGCACTCTAACACACCAGAACACCTTTTTATAAAGGAGCAGCTTCTATTGTTGCCCCTGCCCTGTTGCACTGGACTGAAACAACATTTTGATCACATCTGAGATTACATAAAATAGCTGAAATAGCTGCCCTCGGTGCCCTGACATGTACATGTGTGCCTTAAATCCTAGTTTGGGAACCAAAGACCATCATCTGTCATTGTTGTTGTTGTTTACTTTACTAAGTTTCTGCTCTCCTTTTGTTCTCCTCAGGTCGTCAGCGAGTCCACACAGCATCAGCAAGACATCATGTAAACGAGGAGAGGCGTCGTTAGAAATGTTAAAATAATAAAGAATACATGAACTAGGTAACTATTTGCATATTCCTGATCTTCTTCTTTTTCATGAGCTTAGTCGATTTTAGACGTGGAACACAAACCAATTTGCAAGGAAACGTGAATTTAGTGAACGCATCATACTGTATACATGACAACAGAGGAGCTACTGGGGAGCAATGCTCTGCATTCCAGAAATGTCTTTCCACCTTTTCTACAAGACCTCCACTCTTAATAGTGTGTGAGTGTAGTTTGTAACAATGTGTCAAAGCCCTGGGACGGAACAGTGGTCCTTAAACACCATGATCGGAAATGAAGAAACATAACGGATACAGAATAGATTTTATACGATTTATACAGAAGGTGGAATGTTGGTCTGAGGTTTGACTCGTGTCTGAAGCACAGAGATTTGATTGGACAAAGGAACTTGGTCAAGTTTTAGGCTTGAGCTTTTACAGAACTGTTTGTATGGGTTTCCACAGTATGGTGCTTCACTGTTACAAAAATCTCATACGATTAATAAAGTCATTCATTATCAGCCTTTGGTGCGTGACATTTTGTTTACTCTTAGAGAAAATAAAAACATTGACTTTTGTGTTTGTCCAAGGCTTGTCCATTAGCTCCTTTATAAGCTGTTTCCACCCACTCCATTAATCATGCCATATTGACTACATTATTTTTTTTAAGACAACTTAGCCGAGAGTAACACTCTGTGGACCAGAATGCACTTGTATAAAATGGACAGGAGATGGAGTTCTGTTGACGCTGTCGTCACTGGTCTTGGTTGACAGAAATGTAAACAACAGCCCATAATGAGTTGGTCTTTCCCGGCCTTTATTTCCCTGGAAACCAGATTAGCGGAACCAAGAATGACAGTGTGTGCACTGTGTTTATGGAGCCGCCGTACTGAAAATGTCAGTTAAGATAACAGAAAATGAAACGTGGCAGGGTTGGAGGAAGACGGACAAAGAAAATGCAGAAAAAAACCCCCAAGAAATCAGAAGAAGATAAAGAAGAAATGAGAAAATTAGAAAATAACACAGGTTGTGTTTATGCGTGGAAAACTAGTCACAGTCAAAGTATTGCTTGATAAGATGATTTAAAAATAAAGACGTATTTGTATCACTGTTATAACCTATAAATATGAACTCAAAACATCGGTAGATTCCCCGCTCTTCTATCAGTGGCCTCGGTGTTGAGTTGAAGAGAGACAGGATGTTCCTGTGATTCATTTCCTTTGAATATCCTTTCTGTCTTTTATTCATCCACAGACCAAGGTTCATACTGAAACTATTTCACAGAGCAATTTGTAGCCAACACGTGCATTCAAGTCTGGCATTGAAACTGGTTAAATCATTTTTGGGTTTTTATCGCCTCTCTATTATCTGCATTGCAAACCATTATAATATAAAATTATGACCAAACTCATTGAGCCACTTCCCTGATGTGGCTTCATGGCCAAACCCAGGTTGTTTGACTGGTGATTTGTCTCGTCTCCTTGTTGCATATGTCAATATAGCACTTTAACAATAATAGAAGAGTCTGAAATCAGTAGAACTAAAGTCTCTCTGTGTGTCTGTGTTAATCTGTTGAGTATATTTAATATAGAGAAATATAAATGCTTTTTAGCTAAAGAGTAAATGTTTACATAGAAGAAGTTCAAATTTTCACACAAAAAGAATATAGAATTTAGGTAAAAGATAGGAAAGATAAATAAAGGTTAGCCTAAACTGACAGAAATAACAATAAAGAAAAACAACGTTAGCAGAGAACTAGTCAAAATGGTCCAAAACTACAAATATTAGCCAAACCTGGTGAAACTGGGAAGTGTCACAAGACGCTTACTATGTAGCATCAAAGGTTTACATGGTTTGTTTTTTTGTTATGTTGCTTTAATACTTACTGCTTATAAATAGCAAAAAAAAATTGAAGACAAGAGCTCCCATTGGTTGAAGAACCACACTGTTTATAACATTTTAGGTCCATATAAATTCATGCATAATAACATCAATTTATAATAATAACAAATCCTCAACTGCTGATTGTAGTAATCACCAATTGAGGATCGTACTGACATAACGACAAAATGAGAGCAAAATAAAATCATCATATGAAAACAAGCTGGACATACAGTAGTGATACAGTAAAACATGTCTACTCCAATAGAAAATCAACTGCTGGATCAATGACGTGGGAACAACAGTGTTGTAAACAGGAACCAACCAGACGGCGGTGTAAACCAAAACCAACATTTGTCAATTTGAAAACTATTTACAATTGAATATCTACACAGGAGTAACCCCAACAATCTGTACATTCTGTAATGATATGCATTTACAGGAAAAAAAAACAAAAACTTTCAATTTCACAGAATTCATTGTAAGTAATTACGATTTTGTTTTCACCCAGGGTCCAGTGTGTCGCTACGATAAAACCACGACAGGAGTGAAATGTAAGCAAAAACCCAAACAACACATTTACAATCAGTACTACAAACTCCAAGTGGTGCAACACGGCGTGAACACAACAGGGGAGTATTGTAGGAATTAAAAAAGAATTGTAGAAAAATGATCCTCTCCCTTTTTTTCATCTGCCACTGAAGTTGTATGTTGCTGTGCTTATCTGCAGCTTGTTTGCCCTCTACCTGCATTTTCTCTTTTGGCATCTGTCTTGCAAATATGTCAAAGTAGCAGATGTGATTCCAGCTACAGGTACAACCCACGGTCAGGTCACATGCTAGCCCTCGGGGAGACTTTTATGCCTATCATGAGTCAAAGGTTTACCTTTGTCAAGTTGAAGACGGTTCAGCCCTGCTGTTCAGATCACCAGGCAGTCAGTGCTAAAGTTGCCAGTGCAATATTATTTTTTTATTTTTGACTAAACAAAAGACGTAAATTGCACTCAAATAAAGGATAAAGGGGTTCAAACTGCATTTATAACGCCCCCTGCAGGGGCAAATGAGAGGAACATATAACACTAGCTTAAAAAAAAAAAGTCCTACTTACTGCACACATTACATTTTAAAATGATTTCTAGAGCCCTTTACCGGACCTGATGTTGAAGCCTCCACAAATGAATGCTGGTCTTTGAGTTGGTATTTTAAACATGAGGTGCTTTGGTGAAACAAAAACAAAGTGTTTCAGAGACAACATGTACATTGTCTATGAGAGAAACGTTGTTCCATCCATATGTTAAAATGCATTAAAACCTGATACATTTCATTAACCAATTACCACAGTTAATGTGTTAATTGACAGCCCTAAAAATTTGTTCATATCTGTCAGTAATGTGGCCACAATAAGAACTGAATCAAGACCAGAAGGGGCAGTAATGAGTTCAATTGAAATCAACGTATACTTGATTAAACCAATATATATCTATATTGATCATCCAAATACACACATTGTACTCACATTCTTGGTCCTAACTCAGTTTTTATCACATCCGTCACTTCACTGTGACACAGTTTGTTTGTACGATGTGGCTTCAAACTGCAAATCAAAAGTGCTTTTGTTCCACATGACACCAATGGTTGAAACACCAGGAACAGGAACACACTGCAAACAGTTAGGCAGGGATTCACATGCATCAGTAGGTAAGACAGAAAAATCCCATAATCAGATCAATGCCAGCATTTCCTGTATGTAGAACCACTGCATAAAATGGATAATATGACAATAACAAATGTTTTCTAATCTTGAGAAAAAAGAGCTTCATTTATTGTTGTGGTTTCTTTTAAAGTGAGTATGTGTAGCCGTTGAAAGGGTTAAGGTTCAGTAGTAAACATTAGAGGGCGCAATTTTGGAGGATTTCATTGGAACTCCTCTTTCGCGTTAGCACATGTTTAGAGCTATAAGATTCACATTTATCTGGACAAAGACGTTGGCAGTCAGGAGTGGGCATGATAGCGTATTCTCTGCAGTACTACATACAGTACAGTGCAGCACTGTGAGTATATTTTCCAGGCCAGTATTTGGTGCAAGCCATCAGTTGCAGACTTAACAAACAATCTTTTTAGGTCAATATCGCCAACATCAGACATAAACTATTTAAATTGAAATAAAGACAAAAGGGTCCAACATTACTTTAGACAGGAAGTGGGTTTTTTTTTCTGCTCATCCAGGAAATTGACGAAAGGACAAACACATTGTCCTTGAATAAAAGACAGATACGTCGACAAATTCATCCCAAACACATCCAAGAAACATAAAAACTCAACGTGTCTCACATCAACAGCGCTTCTACTTTTTGAGGCGAAACATCTGCTGCCAATTTGGGATTCACACATGCTGTTTGTGAAAATACCCAGTGGAATTCAAAAACCACATTTTTTTTTAAACAACATTTCAAAAGAGAAAATAATGAAGAAGAGCTGCCCTCAGTTCCACTGTTGATGGGAGTTTTTAAGCTGTTTCACCATCTTTTACCCCCTCCGTGCTCCAAAATAATCCCTAAAGCCGACAATTTCTTTTGCCCACTCATTTAGACCATCTCACGCAGTTTTATCTTGAATGGCACAGCCCCTATAAAAATGCTGTTTTAAGCAGTTGTCCTCTTGGAAAAATAAAGCCTCCTCGATTCAAATCCTCAGCAAAGACAGTTGAGTGAGTTCCGCGCAAGTCAGGTCCAATTATTTTCTTTCCAAATGCACCGAAAATAAATCCAGTCAGAGAGGTGTGAGCTAAAGCGTAGCAGCAGCAGCAGCAACCAGTCTTTTCTTCACCTTCACTCGGAACAAAAGGAACGTGAACTAATTATAAAGTCTTTAGCATGTCTGAGAGGAGGAAATGTTGAACGCGACTTTTAGAACATTATCAGCACATGTTGAGAGAGGCAGTTCGACAGGTTGGCACGGTATGGTTAGGTTTTCGACCCCCAGCGGTGACAGAGAGTCTCAGAGCAGCCTTGAAGGATTCCGCAGCAGGATTTGTGCCCTCTCCTGGCTTAAATGCGAACAGGGGGTCCGCTGGAGGCTGTCAGGGGCACTTGTGAACCGCAGTCATAGTCGAGTTCTGCCATCCTGGATCGGCTCATCATTCGGCCGTGAGAGTATGCCTGTCTGTCACTCTGTCTGTCCCGGAAACTCCTGATGTAGCTCTGTGGACGAGTGAAGACATTATGGCATTTAAATATAAAGACAACTTCAAGCAGCAACGTGAAAAAACAACTTTTTTTTTCAATCCTACCGGTGACAGCACATCTCCATCGAAGCGTCTCTTGGGGTTGGCCTTGCGGTGGTACCCGGGCTCAGTCTGAGGAGGAGGGATCTTTGGAGGCTGGGAGCTCTGGCTTTGGTGATGTGGGTGAGACACCGCCGGGTGGTGGTACTGCTGATGGTGGTGAGGAGTGATGCTCTTCGGCTTGTGGCTGGGCTTGTTGCTCTGGCGTTTTTTCTTCTTCTTGGTCTCCCGCTCCTTTTTTAGTCTCTCCTCACGCTGCCGGATGCGCATGAGCTGAACCCTCCGCTGCTGTCGGCTCAAAACCACTGGAGGGAGAAGGGTGAGGTACGGTGGTGTGAAAGAAAAATAAAAGAGGGGGTGAGGGAAGAAATGGTAGATTCAAAACACAAAATGGACTGAATCCACGTCGGATTAAGTTCAACATTTGAATGATCTTCCTTTGTTCTCTCAGTGTATGGAAGGGAAAAAAAGTTATTGTTTTTTAATTTTTTTTTTCCCAGTTGGAATACATTTCTGCTCTTTGAGCGCCCAGATACTCCGTGTCCTGGCATATTGTGAGTGGGTGAGTGTTATATCCACTCTTCTCACTGCGTAGGTTGGACAAATTCCGTTCTGTTGCACTGCCCATTGATTAGTCATCTGATTATTTTTGGGCACGGCTGTGATTGTAGGCATTTCAGTTCTTTAGCGCAGCTGCAGATTAGGGTCAGTGTGAAGAATGGAGGACACACACACACACACACATACACACATACAGAATTTTTGTGTGTGTGTGTGTGACTGGAGAGAGAGGGGACACATACTATTGATGTGTGGACACTTTGTCTCTGTTGGGACATTTTGTCAGATCCCTAATGAGTAAAAGTATATCTTGATCTTTGACCTTTAATTCAGAGTTTGGATTGGAGTAAGAGCCAGATCAGTGGGTGAGAATTAAGATTAGGATTTAGAGACAATAGTTAAGGTTGGTGTGAGGCACCAGGGAATGCAGGAGCACAACACCAATGTGTGTGTGTGTGTGTGGGAGAGAGAGAGAGAGAGAGCGAGAGAGGTTATTAAGAAGTGTGTGTGTGTTTCTTTGTGCAGGTGGACAGCTAATGAGGCGCCATCTGTGAGGAAAACAGCTTAATGATACTCTCTTTTCTCTTCCTAAGATCACCCCACATTAGGCCCTTGATCACGAGCTTCTCTCAGTGTGTGTGTGTGTGTGTGTGTGTGTGTGTGTGTGAGGCTTCAACACAGAGACCATAAAACTCCATAAAGCTAACATTTTAAGGAGGAGGGCGAGGGTCTTCGGGGGTGCTCGGTGAGGTGCTGAGTCCAGTCTATATTTAGTTTGGGTTAAGGTTGACTTCAGTGTTATAGTTAAAGGTCTCCAAAAAACTAAACAGCATGTTCAGTCAAGTCAAGGAGACATGGCGACATGAGTGCAGTTTGGAGCTCACGACCTCTAGTTTGATTTTGGTTCCACTTAATAATAATAGAAAAGTGTGTTTGTGTGTCAGTTTACAGGGTGTTTGATAAAATGTATGTGGAGTTAAGGCCCACATAATAAATATAAATTAAACCCCCATGTCCTAAATGCTGTTCAGTCAGGTGGTGACAGACTGGCCTCACTGCTCTACTTGCTCCAGTTACCCATGATGCCCCAGTTCAACACCCTCACACCACCGCCCTTCCCCCACCACACCTGCTCTCTAACTGTTCCCAATTACTGCCCATTTTCCTTGATTTTTTCTTTGTTTATTCCAGTGAAATTGGATGAACACTACAATATAGACCGAATGACGCGGGTTTGGCAGAAAGGATTTTTTTTTCTTTCAATTTACTATGAATAAAATAGGAAAATTGTTTTTATGGAAACACAATTTGCAAAGAAAAATATTTTACCTCCAAACTTTTAGCATGAACCACATTTTTCTGTTTCCTGAAAAAGAACTACTGTCATTTGATTAAATCAGGATTTCATTAAGGAACAAATGAACCTCGAAGGTCAGTGATGCATGCACACCACATATGGGTGAATGTTAGCATACTAGCGTAATAGCAGCTTTGCTAGCACTCTACCAAAGCTGGTCAACGTGAGCTCTGTTACAGGTGAAAGTTAGTCATCGTGACATTTTGCAAATTTCATTTGCGATAAATCCATTGGCCATTTCGTCTATATTCTTGCCTTTCGTCAGCACCCGTGAGTTATTTTTCTGTCTTATTTTTCAATATTTCCTTTACTCAGAGTCAGATTATTTCCACATTCCAGTCCAGATACAAGAGTGTGGTAAAATGTCTTCACCTTGAAGTATTGGTTTTTCACAGTCGTCGACGTTGACTCTTTTTCAACATCTCCCCTAAAAGATTCATCTAGTATTCCACAAATATAGTCAGTGTAGTCGGCAGACACTCGACGACAAGGTCTGAAACTGTTGCTTCAATTGCATCTCATGTCATGAGTGTCATCTCATGTGTTGCTACGTTCAGAAAAGTATATGTTTTTTTACTAATGCAATGTCTTGCGTGGTGCAGCTTCAGTTTGGCCAGAACTCTACAACGTTTGGTGCCATGGTAACGTGTGGTTTTTGACTGTGCTCAGGTGAAGGTTGAACCGAGTCAGGGTTATGGCATGGTTTTGATCCACCATGTTCCCCAGGATTTCTGAAAGTCAGCTCTTATTTAGGAAAAACAACCTTTCTGAGAAGAAGAATCCATTTACAGATCTTCCATCAGCTCCTTCTCTGTGGTTAGTGTATAATAACGTCACCTCTGTCTGAAGCCGTCTGTGTGGTGGTTGATTTTGGAGCACTTTATGTTTAAAAAAAATCACTTTCTGTAGCTTATTAAAAGTATTTCTCGATGTATCACAGCAGCTTGTCATGGCCTTGGTTGAACCAAAGCCAAAAAGAAAACTCTCATCTTTTGTGCAATAAAAAGAATCCAATGTTAAGCTAACCCTTCAAATTCAAAAGCATTGACAGACTGTCAACTGTCCTGTCAGACTGTTTATTTCCAACGTTAAGGTGAATGAAACTGATCGTTCTCTGTAACGGACGGACGCTGGAGTAAAACATTTCGTCGAGATTTTGACACTTTCAATCTGCTGCTGTTTTTTCAATAGGATTTATTTCTTTGTTCAGCAATTTCTATAGCAGGTGACCTCCACGTCCACCAGCTCTCCTGCTGCTTCATCTTCTTCTTTTTTCATCAGAACATTGTCAGGAGCCCAGGCCCAGAATGTCACAGTTTTGCCCCCATCCCTGTGCATATCTGCATGGACCTGTCTGTATCCCGTCTCAGTCTATATGTCAGTAAATCTGTCTTTGATCTGCAGCGTTAGATTTGTTTGCCTCCTGAGTGCTGGCTTAAATTTGCTGAATAAGCCCGTTTTTGACAAGTAATTCTGAAGCCTGCTGTGTCTGCAAGTGCCTGGTTTTAGTCCTCAGCCTTTCCCCGGTGTCTGAATTATGGCAACAATCTATTTGTAGATAATAGCTGGTGTTACTGCTGTTTGACGTCACAATGTCCTGAAAAGATTTCACTCCACATCGTCTAAAACCGCCTCCAGTTCCCCATACACTCCCTCATGTGTTGGGAGCCTTCGTATTACACTGCTTTAGCCACGTGTTTTCATCTGTATCCTGTCATGGCTTTTCAACATGACAAAATGAGTCTGGGTTTCTCGTACAGCTACAGGACTCACCTTCTGTGTGTGAAAATCCCTCTGCGGTGACTTTCCATTGGATGAGAACTCCAAGCATGGCCAGGACAGGCCACACCCCCATGATGACCCAAGTAAACCAGCACACTGGTTTCTTTGGTGCCACCTGTAAAAAGAGGAATAATCGGTAACACACACACACACACACACATATATACACCCCAGTAGCTGTCGATTATTCACAATTAATCGTGATTAGTGGTGATCGGAATTGTTCATGATTAATCACGATTAATTGAGATAAATCAACAACGGTACCACAGCATTATTTTCATTTTAATTACAAATTGTTTACATTAAGCCACAATGAGTTCCTTTGTGTTAACATTACATTGCAACATTCTTAGAGTTGTATTAGCTGAGCCCTTTATTTACCTACTGTAAAATGTACCAGACCATCAGTAACATGTGAACACACCCTGACAATGATCATAACTGCAAATTCACTTTCACAGAAAAGCAAAGTGAAGGAAACTACAAACAAACAAATGGTTTGGATTCATCAAAGATAATGTTGTGATTGTTTACCAGCGAGAACAACAATAATATAATATCAGATCTCTCTGTTTCATCTTAATACACTTGAACTAAATCCTGCAGCCTGCTGTGTGGCTTTAATCGAAATGTATTTTCAAAGATCGGCTCATTATTCGTCCTCCGTTTCACAAGTCCGTCACAGTCCGACACAAACAGCACTTTCAGACTCTGTAACTGAGGTCAGACTCATTTAAGTAGCAACACGAAAAACAGAAAAAAAGGGAAATTGTGAGTATTCTAATATCCCCACCACAACATGAACACTGAACACATCCTGTCGCTTCTGTAACCGAGACTATTTACCAAACCCAGAGTCTCTGTGTTCCTGGATAAACATCCTCACACCTCAGAAATAGAAATTCTCTCTCTTATATAACTTTACACTCTAGGTTTCACTCTAGGTTTTATGGGTATTCGTTTTTCATAACCGTGTTGCTGACTGAAAGATTTGTTCATCAACTTTGGCTTCCCCAAGTTCCCTGACTTTTCCATCACACCCAGCTAACTCGGCTAATTGAAAAGATATCTTCAAAGATTGACTTCCCCGCGTTCTACCCTTCCTAATCACAGCCAGCTAATTCAGTTAATTAAGGAGATTTTCAGCACTGCTGGTTAAAGAGAAGCTTTCAATCCCCACTTGCAAACAAAACAAAACAAAAATCTCCCGGCAAACTTTAGTTTAGTCCATAAAGTGTATCATAATCGTCTAAAATCACTGCAGCTGTCGGCTTCTCTGTTAAAGAATCAATACTTGTTTTTTTTATCTGTCACTCTCTTCGACAGTCTGTCTGTCTCTCCCTTTCTTTCACGGATATTGCAAACCAAGACGAGTGCCTCCAGCGAACGATCTTCCACACGGGATCATTCACCTTTGATATCGAGCCCTTTCAAACGTACCACAAAAATAAACATTTTCTTTCAGACGGACGCAGACGACCACGTGACCATACCTTGAGTCTCTCATAGATGTAATGCACCAGGGCGAACATCTCTATAAAGTAATCCACGGTGACAGTGATGATAGCTGACCCAAAGGTGGCAGTAGAGAGAGTGACAAAACAGCACTGCCACTGAAGAGTAAGGACAGCAAATAACGTCCCGGAACCGAGGAGTATACCCAGAGGAACCCAGACTGTCTTGGGGTGGTAGAACTCCTCCATGACCTGATGAGGGAGACGTAGAGATGGGGGTAAAGTTATTTTTAATAAACACTTAAATTAGGAAACAGATTGAATTATATTTGTAAATATAATCATGTCTTATTGTATATTTTTAGGAAGCCCAGTACATTCTCTTTGCTCTTTTTGTAATGCTCCGGCAGGAGCAGCTTTAGGTACAACAATCTCCCCCTGGGGATCGACAAAGTACTTCTAGTTCTGATTCTGATTAAGCCCACTCCTACGCTAAGTGGCTCAGAACACCAACTTTCCACTGCTGACGCTGTGGTTCTGAGTTCTCTTCCTAGTAAAGTCTTACAGGATAAACCACACAGACCCAAACGGTCGGCTGCATCCCTCAACCCCTTTGTGAAAGAACTGTTTTGTTTTGTTGTGTGACTCTCTGGGGTTCAGTCCCTGGAGGCTCAGTCCCAGGATTCTCCCAGCAGTCAGTTAGAACTGAAGAAGCCTCTTGGTGAGAGGAGAAAAGGCTACAAAAAACCAAGCCAGTCCAGGTGCCTACTTCTAGGGTTCTTTGGATCAAATTGTGACGCTCGTTCTGGCAGGAGGAATGTCGATGAAAATGAGCCTTTTGGCTACAATTGGGTGCATTGACCTTTTAACTTTAAATGTTCATTAATGTATTCTATAACAGGGGTGTCAAACTAATTTTGATTCTGGGGCTGGATACAACCTAATTAGATGTCAAGTGGGTCGGACCAGTACAGTCATAACATGATTAACTCTAAATAACAATAAGCTCATGTTTTTTACCTTGTTGTTTTCATGTTGTGTTTGTGAATTTTTTAAATTCATCAAGTGGGCTGATTTAAACATCCTAGCGGGCCAGTTTTGGCCTCGGGCCATATGTTTGACACTTATTGTTACTGTTCCCATCATTCTTTCAGCATCAGACATTTTAGTTGTGATGAGAATGTTAAGTGATCAATTATTTTTTGTTATCACTAATCAAATTAAGTATCTTAGTGGAGACCCTGCAGTGAAAACTCATTCTTGTTGTCTATTACAAAAACATTATTTTAATTACAAAAGCAGAGTTTTAGTTTGGCTGTGTCTCTGATCATCTCTGATGCCCCCCCCACCCCACCCTACAATGATGCTACACGTTCACCGAACCGTCCCTGACCCTAAGGTTTAGTTAAAAACAAACAAGTGTGTTTTATGGGCCATGTTTTCTACTGAACTCTGAAATAAACAGAGTTCTTTATTATTGGCAATAAATGTCTCCCCCGGAATAAAAATTTCAATGGTTTTCAGTCTAATTATTTATTATCAGTCACTCCTTTCACCAACCGTGTCCCTCAAAGCCTCAAGAGATTTATTTATTTACCTAAAATGAGTTCAGGCTGTTTTGGAATTATACAAGTTAGTCGAGATATTTCAAAAGTATCACCTCACTGCTAGCATGTTAGCGTTAGCAACAAGAGCCCCTGGTACAGACAAACCATGACAGCGCTGAGCTGTCATAGAAATACATTCAAATGACTAAACTACAGACTATACGTTTGACTGTATGTCTTACCACCAGTGAGGCCACGCCCACCAACAGGCCCAGCAGCAGGCCCACCATGAACAGTCCCACGCTACGAACCAGCATGGTCACTAGACCGCACAGGGTCCCGATCCCAAGGCCGATGCCGACCGAAGCCTCGACGCTCAGCTGCGTGTCCATCACTCTCTCTTTGTAGCACAGCATGAAGATGACCACAGAGCCAAACATGAGGCCCGTGAGGAACAACACGGCCTTAAAGCATCGATAGCCTGGAGGAGAGAAGACAAACAGAACACTGTGATGCTATCGCGGGTAAACAGAGTCGGCGGGAGCAACCAGAAAAACCAACCAACTAAAAGCCATTTTCACTCCATGAATGCATTTTCTTTCTCCATTTGAGCTGGTAATTGAATTTACATTTTCTGCTTTCTTTGCAAAAGGGCTGTAAAATTGAAACATCACATATAAACACAGAGAAGTAACTAAAGGAAGAGCTTGGTGGAAAAACAGAGAAGCATCATGTTCTTGGGGCACAGACCTTGGTGAAAACGTTCTAAATATGATAATCTCCGTAACAATATAAGGTCATCCACCTTCATTAGTCAACAGTCGCTTAAATAACAGCTGCCTTCTTTCTAATTTCCCTCACCGTGCATCTTGCCCTGTTTGGCCTTATCTCTCACCAGTTTTATCTCCACCTTTAATTTGCTTTGCTGAAATGAGCAACGACGCACGAGCAATTACAGCTTAAATAACTGAGACTCTAAACCTCATTGGTCTTCGTTTCTGTGTTTATCAGCGTCTGAATCCCTGTTTCTCTCTGCAACTTCTTTTTTTTTTTTACCGTGACTGGACCGTCTCAGGGGAAACCAACGGCAGATTGTTATCTTTGTGTAATCAGGCATTGCACAGCTGAGCCAAACAATACTCTCCCTTTCATTCAACCCAGTCTCCCCTGTGACCACCTCATTTATGGCCTTTATTTTTATTTTTTCTTTAAAGGCAGCCGTGTGTCCTCTCTTCAGGTACAGTGGCAGAAACCGCAACAATGACTTCAGGTTCATTTTTTTATGATGAAGTATTGACAGTGCCATCAATCTCAATACTCACCCACTCTTTCATAGCTCTGCTACTTTACTTTTCATCGGTTCTAGATCCCTTTTTTTGCTGTCCCTGGTTGTTTTCCCTTCTTCGCAGTCATCAAAGCCTCTTTGTTTTGTGTTTAATCTTCCTTCATTTCGCTTCAGCTCGTCTCTCTCTCTCTTTGCTTTCTCCTGCATTCAAAGTGACACTGAACATGCTCTTTTGTCTGACACCAGCCTGAGGGCACGCTTGACATTTTCTGCCAAACCGAGTGCAAAAAAAAAAAAAAAAATCTGACTTCATACAGATGCTTCAAATCCTCTGTGGTGGATGGATGGAATAGAATAAAAAGATGCTAAGATAACAATAACAACAACCATGCGTAGATTAAACCACGGTAAAACGACACACACCAAAAAAAAAAAAACGCTGAAAATTCCATCCATAACGAAAGGCCTTTAGCCACCTAACCAGCTCATGCCGCCATCTTGGTTCAGTTAGAAATATGTTTTGAAGGGTTACATCATTGTTAAGTACTAGGGAAATGCTAGCATACACATTTGGCGAGAGAAATCCTCAGCCAGGCATGGGCACATTTTTTGACTCGCCACAATTGTCCTAAAATAGAACGGGGGGGGGGGGGGGGGGGGGGGGGGGGGGGTGGATGGAGCGTTCATGTGAACTAAGATAAATGAAAGTCAATGACATCTAAAAATGCTTTGATGCTTTAGCATTTTCTACGCCGTCTATTGGGAAAATGTGGGTATTGCTGGAAAAAGGCAGAAGTATAATGATAATATAAGTAAATTATATAATTTGGAAAAGTTTGGCGGGCCGGATTAAAGAGCTAAATGGGTCGCATTTGGCCCCCGGGCCGTAGTTTGCCCATGCCTGGTCTAAGCTGTATGCTTGGAAAGAGGAAAATTTAAATTGATATATATTCTGTCTATAAAAATATCTATCTTAAAAATAAATATAGTTGACCACAGTCAACATGTATTAAAATAAAAAACAGGTTGAAACCAAGGTGCTTGACTTTGCTGTGGAGTCCGGTGAAGACACGGAGTCTTTTCAGTGTAGGGCCGTAAACACAGTGTCGTTACATGCAGCCAGTGTTTTGGGGCAAACTGTTTGTAATGCAGACGTTGGCACCAGTGCTACTCAGACATATACAGGGAATGTTAATGCTGCCTATATGCCTCAGTAAATCCCACCCTGTCCATCTGTATGCTCTCAGCGCGCTCACAGCATGAAAAAAAAACATTTCTGTCATTTATCTCTGAAAGTATGTTTTTTTTTTCTTGAGCCCTAAATTACAGCGCTGGACAATTAGACTGACATTTTTACAGTTTGTGAAAGTGTTTATCGCTGCTGCCAAGATGGTAAAGTGGCGAAAGATTTAAGGCTGTGATTTTATCTGTTTTATAGTTTACTCACAATAATTACCCCGCTATAGTGGGGCTATAAAGTGCAAACAAGAAATCCATCCACGTTACTGAATGAATCCCAAAGAAATAAATTATACAAGGAATCTCTTATCTCTGAAGACTGATGCAAATAATGAGCTGATGTAGTTTTGTCCTTGTAACTGATTAACACCGATGTGTGTCTCGTGGCTCTGACACCAGTTAAGACGCGAGTCTTTCTTACACGTCTCTTCTGGAACGAGCAAAACAAACATAAAAAGACGTTAGCGTGCAGCGTTTTTCCTGTGTCCACATCCTGGCAGGGACTAAGACGAGCACAAGACAAATATGTGGGGAGAGCTGGATAAAAAAATACAGGACAAATACAACCGAGACACTCAGAGTGTAAACGTCTTCGTGTTCTTCCTCTCCTTACTGTGCACATTTTCAACCGAAAACGTTTTTACAGCAGCACAAACTGCTATGCCGTAGCGGTGGCTAACAGTTTCTAATTATTTATTGACTGCTGTTTGCTGTAACGACATTGGAGCCAAACTCGTTAGGACGGCTCTTTTACACTTATGAAGAAGTCGATTACTTTCTCCGGCCGCAAAAAACAAAAGCTGGAGTGAGGAGTTTGTGCTGGAGCGTTTGAATGGACCCAGGGTCATTGAGTGTGTGAGTTAAACGACCCAGAGGAGTTTTAAAAAAGACAAAAGACGGTCCGCTGACAGTGCGAGATAATTACGAGCCGTTATCTCCGCTGTGGTGAGAGGGAGTTCAAAGAGAGAAGGAAATGAGGAGCAAATAGCATTTTCAGAAGGCAGCGGGGCGTCAGCGCCTTTTCAAAGTCAAGAATAAAACTTTTCAGTTCAGTTCAAACACACGGAACTGCACATTATTTGCTGGACATGTTTTTGTGCAGCATGTGTTAACCCGAAATAACCTGATTCCTTTGTGATTAGCAAATAACGTCTTGAGGAATTAATCCATTTCTGTCTAATTTTTTTTTTTTCAGTCCAGTCCTTTCATCCGTCTGAGCAGCGATGGATGTATTTCCTGTCTTGGAGTTGAGTTTTAAGATGCGACTTCCCAAAACTTTCAGGATGTTTTAGAAATTTTTGTTGTTGTCAGACAACGTCTGTAGCACAGACTCCAGCGCTAACATTAGCCACAGCAGTGCAGTGTAGCTAGTGACGGAGTTCAGGCCCCAAATAAGTCTGATATGTTGACATTACATCACATTTCTGTGATTGTAATGTGATTTCGCACTAATCTGTCGGTGAAGTAGAAAGATGAAAAAAGTATGGCGATAAATATTTTTGTTCTTTTCATCCTAGTTCTGTGTCTATTTACTGTCAACAAAAAACGCATTTTGAATGAATGGAATCCAGTAGAACAACAGTTGAAAATACTGGTGGTTTATGTACCAAACCAGTTTGGTTCAAAAAGATGACAACCACCTTGCGTTCCAGTAACGCCCAGGAACCACACTCGTCTCGTGTTAACGCTTCACTTCGGCATCGATTCGTGCGCTCGGTAACAAGAGAAGCTCTGTGTGCAGCTCCTAATGTCAGAAACATGATCAACAGCAGGGAGTTCAGGGCTCTCTGGTTCCATGTTTGATCAATAATCCAATAAATTTGCAGCACTCGCACATATCCAGAATAAATCTTGTCCTGTTGCGTTGACTCCACCTCATCTGTGGTGACTGGTGGTGTTTTGAACACATTTAGCCTCAGTGATATGAACAATGGCTCTCTGTCATATCAGTGACTGGAATTTGGTTATTTTCCCCCACACCTGACCACCAGAGATCTGACGACACCTCACTCACCGAAGAAGCAGTAGATGATTCCAAAGAGGCAGCACATGGAGCAGACCACCGACGGCACTATCTCATATTTCCTCTCAATCTCCTGGTCACACTTCAGTCCCAGCTCGGCCAAACCAAACAGCTGGCTGGTGGACGTCATGCTGGCGTACAGTAAAGGTGTCGGTATTAAAGGAAACGGGTGAGGGATCAAAGGGAGGACGTACGGTTCAGTGGGCTTCACCCATGTGGCTGTGTTTACCTGCAAAGAGAAAGAATGGAGGGAGAGTAATAGAGAGACGGGGGAGGAGGAGGGGTGAAGAAGAAAAAAAAGGAGCGTTATTATTGATTGAGCACTGGAAGGAGTTCAGAGTGAGAGCTGACAGAGCTCTGACTGCCTGCTGTAGAATTTCGTTAAAATAAAAGGGAAAGGGAACAAGACAGAACGACACGCTCTTACAGCCCCACAGCGACAGCGAATCACACCACTGCATTATGGAGAAATTACAGTTATGTCACAGGATTTAGGAATAAAGAGTCGACAACAGCCTATCTGCAGCAAACACAAAGCAGCTGCCGCCGAGGAAACGGTTTGTGAGGCCAACAAACAAAGGATTTGGTGATATAATAAAAAGCTAATTAAACCAGTAAAATGTAAATTAAAATAAAATTTAAAAAAACGATTTCCCCCAGCACTTGACACTGCTGCTGCCCCCTCTGGTTAATTAAGAAAATAATCCATCAGTCAGGCTGAAGAATCAAGTTTTTTTTTTGTTTTTTTTTGCAGGATAATCATTAAGAAGGACGGCAGATTGGAGGAAAAAATGGTTAATTAGTTAACTGCTGGTTAACTGCTGGTTAACTGGTGGTGAACTGGTGGTGAACTGGTGGTTAACTGGTGGTTAACTGGTGGTTAACTGTGGTGAACTGCTGGTGAACTGGTGGTGAACTGCTGGGTAACTGGTGGTGAACTGTGGTTAACTGCTGGTTAACTGGTGGTGAACTGCTGGTGAACTGGTGGTGAACTGCTGGTGAACTGCTGGTGAACTGGTGGTGAACTGCTGGTGAACTGTGGTTAACTGTGGTTAACTGTCAACATAGGAAAAAGGGAAAAGAGCATCACCTAATGCTTTATCCTTCTGTTTTAATGTGTGGGAAGCACCAATATCTCGTGGTGAGGTTTGATGGCAGAGAAAATCATACATTAGTCTTTAGTTACTGTTCAGGCAGGAAGTGTGTTTAGTTAATCTGCTGCTAATGCAAAAACATATTGATCCAAGATGGCGGCGTCTCTAATGAAGACGTTATCCTGACGAAAAACAAGATGGGGGGAAATAGTCATTCCATGTTAGATAAATAATTTTAATACAGAAAAAATACCAAGAAAAACAAATGTAACTTCATAGATTGGAGGGATTTTTTTAGTCAGTCCACACTCTCATCTGTTTGGTCATTATGTCGCTCAGCGCGTCGGCCATAGTTTTACTGACTTACTGCTGATGATGTTCTCCATGAGGTACCATGACAGGAGACAATAATAAAGTAACTCCTGTTAAAAATAAGACAAAACAAAAGTGTCGGTTCAATAAAATAATCAAACATGAAAAGAAACATGATCCTTTCAGTCTTTTCACTTCACGCACTAAATACATTTAATAGAGTCAGTCACAGTCTGGAGGCCGCAGGACGGAGTGGTGTTTATTGTCACTCAGTGTGTTCTCAGTCATGAGCAATAACAGAGTTCTCTGTTTGATTTTTCTGCCTGCAGTGTTGGATGCTGTAACTTTCATGTAATTAGTTAAATTGGAGATTTATTTTTTTAACTGTGCAGACAAGAGTTAATAAGACAAACCCACTGAGTGCCACGTTCACTGTCATTCAGAGACTATGAATAGCACCAGGGGTCAATAACTATATAAATCACTGACATTTTTTTAAGTATCAGTTGTTGTTGTTTTCTGTTACTTTAACATGATTTATTTTTTTTGATCCTCACAATTTTGGAATCCAGTCACAGTCTGGAGTGGATGGTTTCAGTTGATGATCACCTCCAAGTACCAAACATGTGGCCCACTGCAGTTCTTTCTTTCTTTAAAAAAAAAATCAAAGAACAAATCTGACATTTTTCTTGTACTGCAGCAGTGAACTTCTCTTCACTGAAGTCAGTCCTTAACCTCGTCTGCTGCAGCTCTAAGAATCCACACTGGAGACTCAATGATACGGCTGCACTGTTTGGGTTTATGTACAGTCATAAATAATGCACTTAAAAACGATTATACTTTTACATTCTCTGCTGGGAAGATGCAGTGGCACATTAAAATTGAAACTCTGTTACTCCAGATAACCTTACAGTGTTTTATTTTCTCCTCGGCCACTTCAGAAGGTTTTTTTATTTTTTTTATTTCATATTTTACAGATGAGAAACTCAGATGCTCTCTGCGATCGTCCGACTCCACGTCGTCTGCACTAACTCTGCTTCGATGCAGAAAACAAAATAAAAAAGTGAACACACCGGCACGTCTGCATGACAAATGGGAGCTAAGCCCTTCCTATTCTGCGTTGACCTAGAGGGCGGTGATGGACTGCAGCGCAGTGGACAGCACTGGTATAACTGTACTTGTGGAGACATTCTTCAGAGGAATCCAACACCGTGTCCTTATGGGGACCTTCTGAAGGTCTCCACCAGGTGGAGACCTTATTGGTTAACATGAACCTACACTGGGATACTGACACTGTGCCAACACTGCACTTTAAATGGAGCTGAGAGTCAGTTTCATGCCTTCATTCGATGGATTTATTGGCAGTACGAGGAAAATGGTGACATTTTTCATTAAAAATTCCGTGAACAAAGTGTGAGATAACGCTGCCAGGAAACAAAACTTTGGTCGACTAGTTCATTGACAGAAAACTTTCATCTGTCGGCTTCACTGAACAGTTGCCGTCCTATCCCTGTGCCCTGCAGACTTCATTACACGCCGGTGCACATAAAAGAATCCGAGGCGTTTGTATCTGGCTGAGTTGAGGGAAAAGTCGGAGGCAAGTTTATCGTTATCACTACAAACAGAGATTTCAATCTAAGAAGAATCACATTGTAATGTTCTTTTCTTTAGGTTCGGCCTCAGCGGAAAATCTCTGTGTCATTTATATCAGATTCTCACACAGAGCTCTCACTGGAACGTCCAGGTGAAGACGACAAGGAGGAAGAAGGAGGTGACGGACTGCCCTCACCGCACTCCAAAAGGCAGACGATTTGAAAACAAAACAGTTTAGCAGAGAACCAATCAGTTCGCACGATACACATGTCACATGTTGGCGCCTCCTGGGTGTCAACCATGTACTAAGATAGCGCCTCCGGTGGCGGTCTATGTCAATTGCAAAAACTCACACTGTATTTTTATGGTACCATAATGTAGCTGTTACCAGGTGGGTGTCCCGCCTGGTAAGCAGAGAGCAGAGAGTGGACACCCGCCTGGTAAGCAGAGAGCAGAGAGTCCTGGGTTCGATTCCCAGAGGAACCACACATCCCTAACGGTGCTTCCTAACCCGCCTGTGTTGGTACCAGAGACTCACACTGTGAATTACCCCATTGTGGAATGAACAAGGCTCTACATTACTATTACTATTATTATTATTATAATTATGTATCTGAGTCAAACACCCACAACCAATCTCAAACCAAAGACAAAAATAGAAAAACGCCTCTGGGGTCGTAACACTTTTATTTCTTGAAAGTCTGTTTTTCCCAGGTTTCCCACTTCCTGCCTTCACGTGTTCACACTCCTCCTGTGTTTCCCTCCACAGTGATTGCCTTACCCTCCACACCTGTGTGTTGTTAACTCCTCCCCTGTCATCATATAAACCTGTCTTTCCCTCTGCTTCTGTTTCAGCTTCTCACTTCCTGTACAGCAGAACCAGCAGCTGGTTTTTGTTGGTTCGTTTTTCCCCTCCATGTACCATGGACGTACCAGTGCGGCACCACTTTCATCCAACTTTAAGTAAGTCTGCTGATTTGGCCTTGCCTGCCTGTGATTGGACTGTTTCTGTAGCTCGTTGGTCGTTTGCTGTTTGGTGTCCTGCAGTTTGAACACGTTTCTGATGTTATTGCTCAAACAAAAAAAGGAAACTGAAGTTTTATTTCATTATTTTTGTTTTTGTTCGCTGCTACTGTTGTTTGCTCAGGATCTTCTCTTGCTTGGCATTGTGGTTTTTTTCTTTCATCATAATGTTTGAAGTTCAAAGTGATTTGCAACAATTACAAAGGTGTTTACTCCCATACATCGGGGGGCGCTGCGCTGTAGTAGTGAACACTATATTTCAACATATTTCTTGGTTGTGTAGTCAATGTTTGGGTTTCTTGTAAATGGGTTTGTCTTTCAGACAAAGTTGACTTTAAATTTCCTGGAACTAAATTGACATTTTTTTAAAAAGTACACACTATGTTTTTTTCCTGCTGCATATTTCTGCTCATTTATCTTTTTTATCGTTCACATCCATTTAATCTGCACCCACTAATTCCAAACATTTTTATAGAAAATTATAATAAACTGGCAATTGTTAAAAACAGAATGTATATTTATTTTTATAAAATTGAATGTAAAAGTAAATGCTGTAATTACAGTTTATTTATTCCTTTTTTATTCTTACAATTAAGACTTTTGTTGCGAGAGAGACACCAGAGAAAAGCATCTAAGAGAGAAAAATGAGAAGAAAAAGAAATCCTATTCACTGTCAATATAATTCAGCACTTTAATTTGTTCTCTCTGCATTTATTCTTCTTAAATAAAAAACAAAATGAAGCCCATTGCAGAAAATTATCTTATAAATAGTTAAAATGCAGTAGAATTCTCAGTAACACAACATTAAAACACAAAACAATCTTCATCTGCAATTGTTAAAAACTACGCACAGAACTGCATATTGATATTGGATTTTTAGTTCGCTATAAAAGTTTTGGGGAAAATGATCACACAGCACTGAGTGTTTGAAAATGTAATAGTTCTGTATTAAAAAACGTAAATATTTTATAGTAAGTCGGAGAGGAATAAAAACCAAACACTAAATGATTCAACGTCATTTGTGATCTCACAGTTTCAGACATGGTGGTGAATCAATCACGTTCATATGTTTTCATTCTAACGTGTGACGATGATGTTGCTGCATGTTTCGCCCTGACCTGACTCTGTTTACATGCTCCTCTGACCACAGAGCGATGACATGATTAGAAAATAACCACAAGGTCAGATCGAGACAGAAGAAGAGAAAAAAAACCCCACAACAAATAGTGAAGCATATCTCGTCAGTTTCTATAACAACCAGCAGCAGCAGCAGAACAAGGAGCCTGCAAATGGGACGGGGGGCTGGTCTCCATGGGAATGTGCATAATAAGAGCAGAGCATGATGGGTTCTTTGAGGCGTCTGGCAGCACATGGTCATGACCTTTGACCCTTTTCAGCGAGGGCTTCTTACAATTCAGGGACATGATAGTGGAGTGTTGGCTCAGTAGTGAGCGGCGTATCAGGGCGTTTGTAGTTTAAGAACTGGCTGGACTGTGAGTGTGGCTTCAGCCACTGGTCTGTTGAAGACTTGGCTTCAGGTTCTCTGAGTTATTAGATTGTTGGGTTATTCACCATCACTGAACACTGAACACACTGTTCATTTTACAGGCGTCCAAGACCAATCCTCACTGCCAACTCCTCTAATGAAGTCAGTTTTACATCTTCGGAGTCGATCAGATCTAATGAGTGCCCGACGATGGCCTCTGCTGGTTGTTATGTATGAAATCAAGCTACCTTATTTGATCTTATCTCATGCTTTTAATGTCAGATGAGAATTTATTTTACACAGCACTGAAAAATACACTTAATAGGCAAGAGGTAGTTAGTTTTTTCTTTCTTTTTTTTTGTTCAATGAAAGCCGTCTGAACGCGTCATTGGTAAAACAGAGATGCCCTGGTGGCTGCGTTCTTCCTCAGATGAATTAAACCTGTGCTGGTGTGATCGGG